GATAGAGAACTGATCAGTAAAGCTAAAAGACTGACAAGGAGTAAAGCAGTGTTTACATAGAATGTATGGCCCTAAAACAGAAGCCCACACCTGGCTCCAAAAACATCTCACAAGCTCTCATCAGCAAAAGCTCACTAACGAGCTTAATTACTCTTTAAGAAGAAACAAGAGTAGGACATATAACTTTGTTCAAAAAACAACCGAAGCCGATGGACACAGGAACTTACTGGACTGCCGTCAAGCTTCCCAGTTCTTCATCATCATCACACGGCTCCATCTTTTCAGCTACAGGATGAAGTAATGATTGGTTGGAGTAAGTGAGATGGACACCCCAGTTTCACTGCCACCGGACGCTCAGAACATCGGAGAAAGACACACTCTGTGTCAGCCCAACTCCTTCACTACAAAAAATCCACTTCATCCCAAGCTCTTTGAAAAAAAAAAACACAATCCCCAAACTCAATTTTCTATGTGTGTGAGTGTCTGCATATGTGCATGTTACAGTGTGTTCCTTCTGTTTTTTTTTTATTTATTTCTTTTTTTTTCATTCCTAGCTTGGTGCCAAATGTTCCAGCTTAACAACGCTGCGCAGTGCTGCTGCTGATGGATTTAGCCGAGGCATCTGGGCCAGCAGGGATAAACTCCATTCACTCACTCACTCACACACACACGCACACACACACACATCCATACACACCCACAGTGCACGACAGCCAGAACACACACGCGTGCAGTGTGTGGTACGGTAAAGGATCAGAGGGAACAATGCTCGCTGGTCCTCCCCCACATCGCTTCTTCAGTAACATCACTACATGTGTGTTAGGCAGTGCATCCAGCATGCACAACCACGTGCACGTGCACACTCGCATTTTGCTCACGCTCAGTGCAGCTGGATCAATGCATATACAGATGTGTGACAACCCTAGAGCTGTCACTAAGCGCACAAATCAGGCCGTACTCAGACCCAGCATGTGTGTGCACAACCGTGCATCTCTGACTAAAAGATGGCAGGTACCTCTGCTAAACCTTCATGCAAAAGAGAGAAGTTGTGTGCAGTAAGAGGAAGGTAAAAAAAGTCCTCTGAGGTTTTTTTTTTCTAGGCTGACTGGTGACAACAGTATATGGTTGTGGGGTCAAAAAGAATTCCTTTTGCCTTTTTACTAAATGTGAGAATCAGCACAGTGCTGTAACACAGAGGACAGGGAGGGGCCCTGTCTGTGATTTTCAGATCCACTGCATCAACAAGTAGACAAATTTGGCCACACAATCCTTATAACACTTAGCAAAGTCCTCAAAAATATAATAAAAGAAGATTAATATGTCCAAAAGCAGCAGGATTTGATTGCTAATTTTTAAACATTCTTTCACAAGATATATAATCAGGCCCAAGATCATGAAAAATATATGAGAAGAGCATTTTACAAGTATCTATTTAATAATGTCACAAAAAAGGACCACAGAATCCTTAAAGAGGTTGAATAAATATACTTATTAGAAGATGGACTAATGTTCCAAAAGGACAGAGGCAGCCAACTCCTGGAGGGTGAAGGGGTGAAGAACAACTACATAAAACATATAAGTGAGCACAGCTTTAGTAACCCAGCAGATCCATAAGGACATCCCTCACAAACCGTAAACTTTATCATGCTTACTGGGCCTGTGAGATTTGTTGCACATATGTCTGTGCTGCAAATTTATGGCTGTGTGTGCTTGTCCTCCAGAGGCCCTTTTTATGGTTTAGTGCATCATTCTTTGGAGAAGTGAATTCAGCATATCCATACTACGACAGCTTCCTCTTTGAGTCTTTTACACCTTTACCTGAGCATGAATTACGATCGGAGATGGGGGAAACAATATACGATGCTGTTCAAGTTCAACAGAAGCCGCGTCCTCTCACCATAGCTATCCATGGCAAAGTCTACAGGGATGTGACTTTGATACCCACGAGTCTCAATATCTGATGAAACAGTACACCACAAGCATCTTTCCAGCGGGATACGGAGGCCAACTTCTGCATAAGGTTGTCGTCTGCAAATACATCCATCTTCTTTCCTAAATTTACACACTTGTCCTCCTTTGTGTCTTACAAATTATACTAACATTTTCAAATTAGGTTTATTTTTTACAAATTTCCCCTCGGTGGTCCGTCCATGTCAGTATTTAGAAAGAACAAAACAAGGTGATTATAACAATTAAGGTAAATTGCAGTTATGGTGCTATGTGGGGAATAAACAGGGATTAGGGGAGAAATTGAGCTGCTAAATGCCAACATGCAGGTGTGTTTGGCGTGTGTGCGTGTCTTACTAATAAGGGCTTCTTGCAAAAATGACTGGACCTCACTGTCGTCCATCTGGAGGCTTTGTCGACTTTATGTAACTGTATCAGTTTACTGAGAAAAGCAAGCAAGAGTGTCCTAAGGAGAGATTAAGTGTTTTCTTATCCACTTACAGCAATGAGCTGTGTTTTTATCTAATATTATGCGGATAGTCAGGAAGGGATAATGATGGGAGAAAGAGAGGAGAGGGGTTATATGAAGAGGGAACTAAGAGGAAGAAAAAGGCTAATTGAGAGGTGAACGATTAACTTACAATGTAGAACACATGAAAACCTTATTAATTGTAAGGTTAATTTACAGTGGTTTTCATCACTCAGCACCAAATGACCAAAACCTTGACATTTGTTCACATTGTATATATATCATATATAATTTCCAAATCCAGCAACAAACTGACTGATATATATGAGTTACAAAAATAATTTTTAACTGAAATGCGCTGCATTACACACTGCTTTCAGGATTCAGACAGCATCCCTCTGTTGTCACAGCTCATTGAAGTAGGCTGCCTTACGGTTTGTTTTAAAGTCACAGTTTTTCCTCAGCATGGATCAGATTCTGTCAGTGGGAGATAAGTGGGGTACACCCTGGACAGGTTACCAGTCCGTCACATGGCCACACAAAGACAAGCAAGAATATTATGCACACACACACAGAGTCTTATTAGGGTTGGTGGGAGAAAGCGGCAGAGAGCCCATCCATGCAAGGCCGGGTACACTCTACACAGTCAGGCCCCAAAACACTCTGCACACTGCTGTCAACATCAATAAAACATCATATTCAAACATCACTTTTAGCATTTCTTAAAACACAAGATAAATGACACTGTTGAATCGCTTCTGGTAACACCTCTGATTCCAGCTGTTTTAGAGCACAATGGCCTCAACGTTGAACATAAATTCAATTTCAGCTGTGTACCTTGCAGTTTTCCCCTTGATTCTCTGAACATTTGATGGTATTATGCAACACAGATGATTAAATCTCCAAATCAACACTGAAAAGTCATCCTGAAGCTGTTAAACGCAGGCTGGTAAATCCCCCACCACCTCCCCTCTCAACGCCTCCCCTCTCTGGGACGACCTTTGTGTTTCCCATTATGCCGTCAACCTATGGTATCGGCTTACAATCAACCCGATAAATTGAAAAATGATGAGCGTCAAACAGTGTTTCCCTTCTTTTGATGACTTTGTCTTACCTTTGTTCCAGCCAAATAAAACTGACAGAGATAAGTCTACAATTGAATGTGTTGTCGGAAGTATTTCCAATGAAATATAGAAGTAAAACGAGTTGCACTTTAAATTTTTTTACACAAGATTTTACAAGTTTATTTCTAACCTGAGAAAAAGGAAAAAGAAAAACGGGTGACTATTTGTGCTCTATCATCAGTCCGTAGAACAGCACTCAAAAATAACTAAAGTTAGGTTTTTTTTTTAAAGTAGAGATGTGAAGAACCTAAATGAAGGCAAAACTGTTTTCACTGATTAAAAATGCTCCTGCAGTGCATGAGGAAACATTATTTATAAAGTTGTCAAAAAAAAGCCGATAACGGACACAGAAAAAGAGACATAGATAAATGATTTTACCTCATAGTTCAGTGTGCCATCCTGGAGAAGCGCTCTGCCCAACTGTGAGTTAATCCTCCGGCTGCCAGCAGCGGAGAGGCGGGCTCCAACTACAATACTCAGTCCAGCTGCTCAAATCAGTCAGGACAGCAACAATACAAGTGTGTGGAACTCCCCTCTAGATGGAGGTCCTTGGCTACCATGGGGAAACTGAAAGCTTGCTGAGTCGGTGTGTATTTTCTGATTTCACAGAATTGGTTCAGCTTATGTTCAGGCGCCACACACACTTACACACGGTGCTGTCTAGAATACCACTGTGATCTGAGTGGCATTTAGTCTCGACTCAAAGAGGGTTTTCTGGGTCTGAACGCTCACTCTCCTGCTCTTTCACACCTACGGTTTTCCTGCTGGATACAAATGTTACGTTTCCAGCTGGAACATCCTGCAATTTGTATTGAGTTTGAGGAAACCGTTAATAAAAAAGTCAGCTCTGCCCCCATGCTGAGTTATTTGATTCAATGATCCTGTTTTCTATGGTGAACTCCCACTATCAGGCTCACTATACAAAAAAAAATGTTGCTGTTGTTTTATATTCCAACCATAATAGGTGTGTAACAGAAACAGATGTTTGATGGCAAAATCTGGACAAGATTTTTGATTGATTGAAGTATTTAAATATACAATAATAATTCAGTCATTCCTTTTTTCAGGCTGTACTCACATGCACTCCACAGGGAGCTAATGGTCTTTTTAAAGTCTTTTCAGAGGAAAAGTTTAATTGCACATTTAAGACTGAGCTACTTCAGAAAAATACAATGAAATTTGAACGAAAATAGAATAGACACTGATGAATAGCAGATTTTTCTAATTGCCATAAATGGATGACCGGGACTTATGGCCTCTGTGTAAATAATGTGGAGCAGTCTGACATTCTGCCCTTTCCTCCACAGGATGTCACACCTTCATGTCTTCATGCCTTCACTCAACATAATATTTTTAAAAATGACTGAGCTGATTCATATAGTAAAGCATTCATATACTAAAAGGTGTAACCGCGTGTGTTGTCATGTGATTCCTCATGAATATTCAAATGTTATACTCACTCATCATTTCCAAGAAAAGACGTCTCCCTCCATTCGAATTCTCGGATCTGGGCTTTAGTTGACAACTTAAATGAGGAGAACTTCTTTGGATGCTGCTCCTCCGAAAACTTATTGCTGCTCGGAGCTGTCACAGGGGTCAGGACATGGTCTGAGCTGAGCGATGTCAGGTCAGTGCTGAGGTCAAAAGATGTCCAAGAAGAGTCAGAGGAGACGGACGAGCTGATGTCCACCCACTCCACAAGAAATCCACGTCTCTGGTTCATCACGAAAGATATGCAAAGAGTCAGGTAATAGATGGCAAAAAATAGACAGGATAGTCTATATAGTTCTATAAACAGGATAATGGAGGGTAAAAAGGATTAGTCCAGCCAGAAATGTTTTCAGCGGAGACTGAAAACACTGCTTAACTTAAATGCTGGATGCTAAGAGTGGGCATTCTTCTTGGTCAAAAATCTTTTCCTGCTCTCTTCTCTCGGAGGTCAGTAAGGTGCTTCAGTAAATAAATACACCTCCAGAAACTGAGAAGACCAATCACAAAGAGCATCAGACAAAAGAGATATGATGGTGTGGATGTGAAAGCAAGAAAGGAAAACCTCTCAGGGAAGAAATGAGACTTTGAGATTGGAGAAAGGGATGGAGACACAGGAACCCTGAGCTGTGGAAGGTGTGCAGAACAAAAAACAAAAGAGGTGCTTTACAGATAAAAGTTCAGGCTGCTGCATTTATGAGATGATGGCTCACATCTCATTACATCCCATTATAGCCCCTCAGTAACTACGTTATGTGGTAAGTTGATCGTAACAGCGCAGGGTGGGAAATCAATCTGAGATGCAGAGAGAGGCTTGAACTGGTGGCTTCTGTGGCTACATGATAGCAGAAAGCCAGGCGGAGCTGGATAGAGTTGCACTGATATGAGGTTCATTACAAGAAGTCTGATCCAGTCCAAATGCAATTTAGGCTCACCACTAAAGCCAATTAGAGGCATGATGTGGGTAACAGAGGTGTGTCAGTTTCACACAGGTGGAGAGGGAGTGAAGAGTGTGCAGGCACCAAAGATACTGTTAAAGGTTTAAGAGAATGCTTTATCAAATTTACATAAAAGCAAAGTTCCACTTCCATTCAGACATACTCAGCCATGCTTCAGCAGAACAGCTTGACAGGTTTTTATTTTCAACTTTTCTATACATTAGTCAAATAACTGACACCTTTTCCATTTTTTAGGAAGCATAAGTATAAAAAAGAAGGGATGAAATGTTAATCATGCTGTCCGTCATGAACAGATTTTTACCTTTTTAAAATGCATCAACCTACACCACTCAAACCAAACTTCATTGGGCCAAGTCCATAAGCTACACTAGGACTATGGCTGCCCTGGATGGAACAGGACATAAAAGCCTAGATATCCTAGTTGACAGCTGCTGCTCAACCGACAAACCATTTTTTAAAAGGAAAGGTTGTGTTTTGCATCAACAGTCATAGTCCCATTTCATAGCTCAAAGGGAAGAAAGACCTGTCCAACGCTTCCTTAAGGAACAGAAAGTCCCACAAATGTATGTCGCGACACAATGAGCAGAGATAAAAGACTCCATTTTAGAGAACATACACAAATTTCTTTCAAACTTTCTCTGCTGCATTCCATTAGGTGCATATAACCGACCAAACAATCCCCCACCGACTGACTCCTGATTTTAGAATGGTTCCTTGGAAATGTACTCTTGTTTACACTCCTTAATCTGTGTAAATTGCTTTGGTGTCCACTCAATGTAAAATTGAAATATACTGACTGTCTCATTGCTTAATCTGAGATAAGAAATAAAACCAGATTTTCATCCAGACTGGCTTTTGTTCTGGTCAAACTCCCAGGTGACGAGCTTTTCGTGGCTTCAAAACAGCTGGCAAAAGTTACATTTTTAATGTGACAGTCAAATGAATAACCTGGATCCACCACACCAATAAATCCAATTTAAATAACATTTTCTGATACAACTGGCCCAGAAACATAAATATACATTAATAAGCAAAAATTTTTAATGTTTATTTTGACAAACCAAAAATGACCGCAGAGAACAAACACAGAAGCAATTGAAACACTTTACAAATAATGACAAAGTGTGGTCCAAAGGTTTTGCGGGGCAGAAGAAGAGATTGTAGCACACTGATTGACATGAGTTGTATTCATTTAGATTTTCTCAAGATTATATTAGCTCATAACTTTATTTTCATCCGGAGCATTTTTTATCTTGTCTAAAAGGCGAAGGCTTGGGTCATGGTGGTGACACCACACCACACCACACAGGCGTCCGCTGACCTTCTGCCGAAGCTGGTCTGTGACAAAGGTTCTACTCCAAGTCAAGTCAACCGCTCCAAAAACAATGATGGCTCTGTTTGCTTTGCGACACAAAAGTCTCCACAGTGACACTTGGGCTGAGATTCCACAGAGAAAATCAGAGCGCAGTCGTCCCGCGTAAAGGTAACTTCAGTATTCGATAGACGTGCACAGGACGGCAAAGAGAGAAATAAGGTCTTTAGTGAGAAATTAGGAGAAAGAAAACAACAACTTTGAGTGGGGTTTAGAAGTCAGTGAGCAAATCCAAGACAAAGATTAGCATTGTTAGGAGTTGTTCTGGTCTGCTGCATGGAAGAGCAGGAAGTCTCTCCTCAGGAAGGATAAGCTCCATATAAATCCCCTCCGGATCCTCCAAAACAACTTCATTGGAAATAGAAAAATGAATAGAACTTTCTAATCCGTGTCACTCCCTTCAATGAAAAAGCAACCACGTTCCTAAACGGTGGCTGTGAAGTCACCTGGTAAAAAGGCGTAGGCTGTGGGCCTGGCTATGGGCCTGTGAGGGTAGTCGGCACACACACAAATCCAAGTAGCAGAGCGCCGAGGGCAGAGTGCAGGCGCCAGTTAGCGGAATGAAGGAAGCAACACCGGGAAACGTGCCCGTCCGGAGGAGAAGAAGGCGCAGACAACAGAACACAGATGAAATTAGAATTAAGGTTGGAGATATTCCTCTGAGGGCAGGGTCAGAAAAGCTGCAGGGATTCGGATCGAGCAGGAGACGGGGAACAGGAGCCAGCTCTACGTCAGAAAACGGGCCTGGGCTGTTTCATGTTGTAGTGGGCCTCAGAAGCAGAAACATACGCAGACTCTGGGAAAAAATCCTCGTGGAACTCCGCCAGAAACCTAAGAGGCAGGTTTGGGGAAAGAAAGTACAAGGAAAGGAAATCTCATGAAATATTCAGACAATTCAACCAAAACTCATCATTCCCTCCGTATCAAATATTCAGCATGAGCCATTTATCGGCGTGGACATCAAAGCCTCACAGGGAGCAGAAAGCAGGGTCAGAAAACCATCTGAAAGGACATCAACTACTTCACTTCTTTCCCTCAGTCTCTGTATTCGTTTTGGAGAGGAAGCCCCATCATAATTTTCTGCACAAGCAGCAGAAAACGGACAGAAAAGATGTGGGATGACTGACCACTGAACAGTCAGACCAGGGAAAGTGAAAAATCCCTCCCTCCTCCCATCTAATCAGTAGCAGGGAAAACTAATCCAGAATCTTCTTAGTATCCACTACTCGGCCAAATCCTCTAAATCTTGCCATCTCATCTTAGCTCCACCGGCCTTTCTAATCTCAATGCAAACAAATTATCCTCATCAGAGTTGAACTTAAGAGTGAATAACAATTAGGGCATCCTCATGGGACACTGCAGGGAAAGAAGATGGGCCTCTTCATTCATTCAATTCCCTCCATAAACACAAAAAATGGTTCTTAATCCTTGATTAAAAGGTATTCCACTTATTTTATATTTGATATGAAAAAAACACTTTCCTGATGGATCTTTGTTCTGAAGGAAAAATGGTGCGGCCTTGAGTGGCTGCCCACAGTCTTCCCGAACCGGGAAGATCCCACAGTGCACAGTACACACAAACACACACACACAAACACACAAACACACACACACACACACACACACTTAATCATGATCATTCTAGCACTGAAGAGGAGAGCGAGAGATCAACTGTGGCCAGTCCCTGAATGCACTGTACAACAGTATCAGCAGCATCAATTGGTTTTTGCCCACTCGGCACAATCTGCCGCGAGGCTGATTACGGAGTAGAAACGAGCAGTCTTTCCCAAAAGACTCTCATGTTTTAGTCTGCCGCCAGCATCCTGCCGAGTCCCGACGTGGTGAAAGTATTAATTGGATCGTCAGAAAACATGGCTGCATTTTCTGAGTGGAAAAGCGTCTCTGGGCCGCCACAGAGGAGACTGCCAATACTGAATTAACCTACGTCTCAGGCCCCTCCATCTCTGCAACCTGTGACAGAGGGAATTAAAGAGCCTGTGCCCTCTGACCTCAGAAAAACTGCTTATGCTGACATATTGGTATTCAATTTAGTGATACATTCTGAACATTGCTGTGCAGCCAGGGGGCAGGAACAGATATCTATGAAGGCGATGCACCGCAGACTTAAAAGGCGGTGAATTCCTCGAGCTGCACGGTCCAGCCCTCAAACTCACATGAATGCCAGCTGTCGCCTTCTCCAACACCAGCATCATGTGATTTTTATTGCATGAAATGCTGAGTCCCAGTTTCTGAATTAAAAACTATTTTTCCGGAGTGGTGCTGGAGTCCAGCCGCTGCTCTGCAGAGCGGCCTGCTGGCCGGAGCCGGTACTGCTCCTGTTTGATTAGAGAATGAAAGGACCTAAATCCCTCAGGTTTGGGACCGGCTGAACTGAAGATCGCTCGGGAGGATTTAAAGATTAGACTCCTGGGCTTGTGTAACGCCTACTCATCTCCCTCCCTCTGGCATGCTCTCTCTCACTCATCTCTGCCTCCCCTCCATATCTGCATGAAGGCATACACTGCCTTTCTCTTTGATTGGATGCTTCCGGGTCATTTGGATGCTCTGTTCTCACAAATCTTTGCTAAAAGAGTCTTTGCTGAAAGTAATGCTGGGCTGATGAGCCCCGTCGGTTTTTAGCTTTTGATTTAACCCTGAAACACAACTTTTAATGATTTAAACATGATTTCACAGATTTCGTGAGCATGGAATAAACAGAGGGACATAATCCAATTGAAAACAAACAATACCTGAGAAAAAGCTCCAGATGTTTGATCAGGGCACGGAGATTCCGCTCTGGGATCTGCATTTTTCCCAGGATCTCTGGCAGTTTCACTGAGAGAGAAGAAAGCAAGTACAACAGAGTTTGGTGCCTGACACAGAGGACAAAACAAGCTAAGAACAACACCACAGAGTAAGATGACCGGAGTAGAAAACTGACCAAAAAGCCGCAGCAGGTGCTGTGATCCGTACAGGTAGGAGGGCGGGGGGGGCTGGTCGTGCTGAGGGTAGTTGTCAGGAGTCAGCTTCCAGCTCAGAACCTGCTTGACACATGGAAGGAAAGGACATTTGTTTATTACAATCAGCATCATCAAATGAGGTGAAGACTGTATTTTTTCATTTGGTCAGAGGTAAGATCTATAAAAACGTTCCCGAAAACAGACACATCGGGATCTGATTCAGTTCTGCAATCATCTGTGTGGAATGAGGGAGGCCATTCATGGCCCTACTAGGCCATCGTCCTTGAGCTGGACACTGTAGGCGTAGCAGCATGACCGTCACACAGTCCATCACCTCATTGAGCTCGTTGTTCCTGCGGCTCTCCAGGCCGTAGAACGGCCCGCTCTGCTCTTTGCTTGGCGTCAAGGGCAACGGGGAAGATGAACCACTGTGGACAGGGGTCTCTAGATAAAGACGGATTTCAGAGAAAAAAAGAAAAGACAATAGGGTTATGAACAAAAAAATAAATAAATCATTGAACATAAAGGAATATTGTACAAACATAAATTGCATCTGCACAGAAACAGCTGGAAACAGGAGGAGACTGGGAGCACAACACCAACTACTGGGCGGAGCCTGCCATTACACACAAAGGCTTTGGCATCCCACACAGCCTAGACATACCAGGGATATTGTGTAAAGAGTTAAACTTACTTCTCTCAAGGCTGAGGAAGAACTTGGGCTGTGCCGATGTCTCGACCAGACGGCGTTTGAGCTGCGGGGATGCTGTAGCGCTGCCTCCACCTGTTACACACACACACAGATGCAAATCCCAAGTCTGGAAACTTTATCTACAAAAACTTCAGCCCTTTTCTTTTCTGAATCTACATCATTTCAGTCTGCAGTTGTCTGAATCTCCCGATTATGTTCCCAGCATGTGAGCGGTTACCTCCGCTGCTTCCCTCAGCCGGCCGCTCGCCTGCTGCCGTGTTCCTGGTGGAGCGCCTGAGGGACTGAGACTGGTAGGAGATACAGTCCATGTCCGGGTGCCGCCGGCGCTTTGGCGTGGGGGCGGAGGCAGTGGGCGTGGTGGCGGACGTGTCACTCAGCGCCGGCTGACTGTCGGTGGACTGGGGGGTGGGGGGGTTGTGTCCCGGGGGGCTGGGGCTGCGCTCCTGGTGGGCACTTCAAAGAAGAGGGAAGGGAGAAGCAAACCTGATTTGATAACTGAATTAGCTCATGGAAGCTGCTGATTGGTCCCGATGATGGACGCATGAGAGGTTTTAGCTCCACACTGACCTGCTGGAGCACGGCGAGCCTTCATTCGTAGCCAGGAAGACCCTGGAGGAGCTGACCTTTTTGAACTGAGCTTGTTCACAGGGGTACAGGAGGATCATGGGTAAGGTGAAGTCGAAAGTGATCCTCAGGCCATCGACCATTTCCTTACACAGCTCCTCACTTTAAATAACGAGAAAAGAAGCGTAACTTTGAGAACACGCAAACTCACTCAAACACTCAAAAATGTAAAAAACGTTGGTCTGATGAACTACAATTCACTACAACTTACCAGTTCCTCCCCACATTTAGGTTTATTTATTTACAGAGTAAAGCCAGTAAAGCCCCCCCAGGCATGCCAAACACTTTGATCCTTTGGTCCTGCATCAGCCATCCCCAGAAGGAAGACTAACCTCTTCTCTGGAGGAACTGGCTGTGGACTGCTGTTCTGTGTGGTGCTCTGCTGACGCCTGTACCTCTCATTGGCCATGAACGCTTTGTTGATGGCAAAGTGTTTGACGTAGGACTCCAGGATATGCACCACATTGGGCTGACAGGGAACCATGACAAGCTGCGGAAACAAAAACATGTGAATAAGGAAAAGCCTGGCCTTCCAGCTGACATCATCAGGATCTCTCCATGATTACAAAACTCTCTGATTGGGGCAGCTCATTAAGACGACGGCCAGTTTTCCCCTCAGCTGTGCACCTTTTTCCTTTTGTTGATGTAGAAGCAGTCATCTTCTAACTTCTTCTTCAGAACATCAGGGATGCTGATGTCCACATGAACAATCTTCTCCTCACACTCCCTCTTCACATTGATGTCTGGCTCAACCCTCTGAAACACATCACGTTCATTAAATTCCACATCAGGCTTCGGACCCCTTCTTAGAAACTTGACAGATCCGTTTACCATTTTGTTTATATCCTCAGAGAAGGCACTGTCTCCACTATTAGAAGATTCAGGGTCAGAGTCGTCCCCTTCACTGCTATCTGAAGTTGAAATCAAACCTGGAGAAAAATACAGGGTTTAGTCTGCCTGCAGGAGGGAGAAGAAACAAAGTGACGGTCAGATTTCTCACACGCGTCATCGCTGTCGTCCTCCTTAGGGAGAGTCTTCAGAGAGGATTTAGTTCCAGACTGACGACGACGCCTCTTCGTCCATCCTTTCTTCTTCCTGTGCCAAGAAAAGCAATATTAGGCACCAGTTATCTGTGTCAGTGACATGTACTGATAGAGCAAATGGAAAGGTTGAGTCCACAACTCACAGGCAATGTCTACACCAGCGGTTTAAGTGGCAGAGCAGATGGTTAGATTAATAAGATTCTGCACTGCTCTCCAGGCAGAGGAGAAAATAAATAAAGCTGAGCCTTCATTTCAAATCTTCAATAAGATTTCAAATGTGAACTTACATGCGACCGAGAGCTTTGCGGGCCAGTTTACGTTGCAATTTACGGTTTTCCTCGGTGTCCCTTAGGACATGGTCCTCTGCAGCCCAGCGGTCCCAGCTACACAAAAACACAACGTGGGTGGTTTGATAAATGTGCTTTCAAGAGCAAATGCATGTGATCCATCAGAGGTTCTGTGGTCCCCTGACCAGCAAAGACAAACAAAAATAAAACAGGTCTTAAATGTGGAAACATCAGTTCTAAATGACTAAAAGAAGGAAAGGCGTTATGTGTGAGAGTAAGATGTCATTATAATTTTAAAATAAGAAACATATGTGTTCTGATGTCCAAAATATTTGTTCTGTCATATCTGAGGCAAACTTCTGTTTCTACAACAAAAAGTTTGCTCTAACTATGGCCAAATCAGTGCCATTATTGATGTTCTGATAGCTGTCAAAATACCTTGGTTTAAAATTCAAACGTGCAAAAATTCTAATTTGTGTTGCCTTTATTTCACCCCTAAATCCATCTTTGCCTGGATGGAACAATGACATTCAAGCAATACCAGTTCAGCCCATTTGGAGCCCAAATTCAACATAAACATCGAATCTAGTACAAGGCGGTAAAATCAGGACTCTGAACAATAAATGGGTTTAAATTATGGTCACCTTCTGCTCCAACCATTGAAGTGAATCAGGTACTTTGGGATTCGTCTTCCATGTTCATCTGTACCTATTAGGACATCAAGGACCTGTATTGCAAACACAACAATTATTAAGTACATCAGTGTTGCAGAATTTGGCTTTGTAAATTATTTTGCTGTTAATAAATGGAGTTTTATGAACATTATGATGTCCAGATTTTAACGGGTAACAAATAGGCTCATTAAATCACAGAAGAAGAGGAAACAACAAAGCAGTGAAAACTACACAGAACTGCAATTGAAAACATGACATTTGCATCACTTTTTAAATTTTTATTATTTGTCAGCTTCACATAAAACACTATACTCATACTGAGAGAAGTTGTCTGAATATTAAGACCCTGCACATACAGTCTTGACAGAGAATGCAAAGCTAATGATGCCCTTTGACAGCCATTAAATGCTGAACTGTTTTCATGCATAGCATGAAACACCCTTGTGAATTAAAGTTAGGTCTCCTTCACACACAGTAAAAACTTTAAAAAGTCAGGTTATACAGTATTAGTTTTAACAACGTTATGACTGCATAACGCTAGCTCGTCCAGGTTAGCTGAGTTTTAGTGTTAGCTTGTATCGTTAGCATGCTAGCTTGAAAAGTATTGGAGAACCGTCTAAAAAAACTGCAGTCATGCAAAACTGTGGCATTTTTTAAATCTATGTATTGAGTTATTCCAGATAGATATGCTGCATCATCCTGAGTTAGAGACAAAGCCAGTGCATTAGCAAAAAGCGTGATGCGTTGGTAGGCTTGTTTAATACGTGTTGAGCCACCCACCAACCATAATTTTTTTCTACGTTAAGATGTATATTAGATATATTTAGATTATCTGATTCAATGCCATATTCCACGCTCCAATGTTACGTCCTGATCGGACAGAAATTACTGCAATGAATAGCCAAATAACGTTTAAATAATAGAGATGTGTTTACTTTTTTAAACCCGTCCTTCAACCATAAACAAATAAATCGAACGCACCCGGAAACTATACAAGAGAACAAAAAAAACAACTGAATTTCATTTGTAGTTAATGTTATTTCTCTGTGGCCTTAGGAAGCTTCCCGCTCTCCCAGTCTCCTGAATGCAAACATCCCCGCTTTTTCCTATCAAACTACACTTTTGTGCAGAGCCTGGACACCGACAGCCCATATTAGCCTGCCCAAAATCTTACCTTGGCGTCATACAACACTTTAGCCTTGGTAGGATCGGGTTCAAAGCACAAGACTCGTTCTTCTTTGTGAAAATGATATTTAATTCCCCGCGAATTCATTTGTTCATGGCGACGTGTAGGAAAGGAGGCATCGATCGGAGCCTTAAAAGCTCCTTAACCCCTTCCTTTCCTACGAGGGGTCTCTCCCACGACAACATCACCTTCCGGCTACCGTAGTTGAGGGATTAACGTTCTGCCTTGATAATGGTGCGTTCAAAGACTGCATGAAATGCACAATTTCAAAACCGTTTGTTTTGCGAGTTGACGTTTTACATAGTCGAAATCTCAAACATCATTCCCAGGTTAAAGGTGTTTCTAAATCTATTGGAAAGATTAAACATACAACTATGAATACGATTACTCATTTTTTTTAAATAATAAATTATGACCGTTTCGAGTTCTGCTCGCATTTTGAAACACCGTGAAAAATAAAGTTTGGCCACGTAAGACTGGCCCTCTATGGACACCGTACCAGTATTGCAATTTCCAAAGACGTCCAATAGATGACAGAATAAGCGCAAAAGTCGGCTTAAAGCTCAATTTATGATTTAACTACCCAACATTCTCTTGTTCAGTTTAAATAATTTTAACCAGCCTATAAATTACAAATGAACATGCGGAGTGTAAAACTAAAACAATGTAAAACTTGGAACTAAAGAAGAGACTTTGTGCGGATAACTCGTGCATTTTTTGCTTTAAATAAATTATTTTAGAAACATATTTGACTGTGACCTGTATTTATTTATGGATCTATGAAATGGATGCTTGAACTAACTTCTGCAAACAGCCCCTACTGGAACTTCTCCCGATATTCACTCCTCAAACATCTCAAGGATCTTTATCCAGGGGTTCAGAGGTGAGAAAACAGGCTGTTTTGCTGTTGTAACTTTGGGAGAGCCACTTTGCTTAAGGCAAAGTATAGTGACATGAAACTCAGTACGTCTCAATGTCTAAATCTAATCTATCCCCATTAAAACAGTATAGTAACTCCCAAATATATATATAATATGTTACAGCTATGGGAATAGTTATATGTGTCGTAAGCAACAGTGGGAGCATGAGATGCATGTGGTCAGTCAGTCAACTGCTTTTGTGCAGCACAATATGTATAAGTGCAGTTGTGCACATATTGCCATAATCTCAGAACTGAATCTCTTTAAAATATCAGGTTTATTTACACGAACAGGAAAACTGGAAAAATATGTTCTTTCCACCACACCTGGGCCAAAGTTAAGTATTTTTCCCAGATACAACCACTCAGAGTTCATGTAGGACTTGAAGATATTTCATTTATTTTGCTCTTGACATCCCAATCTTTCTTTGGGCCTGAGAGCTTCAAACAATGAAATGTACACTGATCCCCAGCTGGAACCAATGTCTCTGCAGCTGAAGCTGAAACCCAACTCATTGAGCTTAAAATGGTTTCATGCAAAGCTGCTCTAATACTGTTTACCAAATATGGACAGTGTGTTTGTAGCCCTGAACATGACAGGCCAATGTGTGGTTCTACTGATTCCCTCAATTTGACCCTGAATGAAGACGCTTCAAATGAATTTTGCATTATGTTTTCTTAAACATACTTTATAAATTCTAATATTTAGTTTCTATCAAGGACGCACATTCCCCAAATTAAGAAGCAGTCTTGGACATTGTTCAAGGCAATATTACTAAGTTTACTTATACTGCTTCTCTATTCTCTTAGTCCTTTCCTCATTTTACCCCCCCCCCCCCCCCC